GCATCGGTGCTGTTTCCTTTTCAAAGTGGACGTCTGGCTATAGCTTTGGCGTCGGGGTGATTTCAGAATTTTGGCGTTTAGCCTAGTAGTGCTCTGCATGAAGAGATGATGCGAGAGAGGATGTGTAGGGGGTTTTCGCATGAACGTCTTGCAAATTATTTACATTGCCGTTTAGTACATAGCGGGTAGAAGGCTGTACTGATGATTCCTGCTCCTACTCGCACGCATTGCTCGATCTGTGTTTACATCTAAGGGATGAAACACAGGAATTGCATCATAAAATGTCTTCTTACACACGACCTTTAAGTCCAATCCGTCTATTCTACCATTTCCTCCATGACTTTCTGGAAACAAAGCACTCCGTCAAGTGAGCTGCATGCAAAATGTCGCTGTGTCAGTTTCGCGGGAAATTTGTTGAGTGTGACGTATGAGTGAGTAATATCCGCAACAATTTGGCGGGCCCGCACGCGGGTACCACGCTTACCCGGGGGTTGGGTTTGAGCTCATTAGCACTTACTAGGGCGGAGAACATTCCCTTAAAATTTCGGCTTTCTAGCATCTCAGATCCCCGAGTTATAAATTTACGCGAGAAAAATTTTGGCGGGCCCGCACGCGGATACCACGCTTACCCGGGAAGCATGTTCGGATGGCCCTCGCTGAGTTGATGTACGTTCGTAGTGTGGTGATACGTCAAGATGAGTGTTCAGCGAAGCTTTTTCCGTGCATCCGGATACCTCACCAATAATACGAGAGATACTAAGAAGAAGAACGGGAGAAGTCCGGAAAGCGTGCCTTCGGGATTAATCGAGCGTGCATACACAGCTCCTTTCCAGACAACTGGTGATGGTCATCAATCAACAAAAAGTATAATCGCAACACTCTCCGGTTATGCTTTCCCAGTTCGTATCGACCAGTTAAAGCTGAAAGAGTGTTTTTAAGGGTGGCTGTAGGTGGTGAAGGAGCCGTCCAATGGATACATACGATACGATAGCCAATCAGCCGGTCGTTATCGACAATGGTTCGGGTGTGATCAAGGCCGGTTTTGCCGGCGACCAGACGCCGAAATGTCATTTTGCAAATTTTGTCGGACGACCGAAGCACATCAGAGTGATGGCTGGCGCCCTCGAAGGCGACTTATTTATTGGTAAGCTGCTAGTTTTTCTCGAGCTTTTTCTGTGTTCGTCTTTCGCGCAGCTGAACTGATTAGCCAGTGAAATTAACACATGCCGCCTCTCACACTTTTTATGCGCTTTGTGCTGTGTAACAGCAGTACAAAACGCATATTGTCACGGGTTTATCTCTGTGTTTGTTTGTGTGTGTGAGTGTCCGCAGCAACTTGTCCGCAACTTTCAACTCGGGAACCACAAAAGCTAGTAAGTTGAAAATTTAGGGGAACGTCCCCACCTACGTGTGACCCCTCGAATTTAAATTCAGCTTCCCCGTATCCGCGGGTAACACGTACGGTCCGTGAAAGTTTTTTACGGGTAAATTAATATCTCGGAAACCACGGAGTCTG